GACAGTCTGCATGCATTGCCAGCACATCAAAATTTCCCGAACTGAAAGCCTCAGGCATAGTTTTGGGGGAAAGAGGTACTTTAAATGCATTGTTTTATTCAATGTGTACAGGTCCTGTGTGTTTATGTGTTAGGATATGTGCATATGTTTATGCGTGTGCCAGCATGTGTGTCATGTTGGATGATGGCTAGCAGCCTGTGGCTAGTATTTTAACCATATTTTACAATGTACGATGCACATAAAAATAATAATTTATACATCAGCCACTTGGAAAAAAATGTGTAAACCTTTTTCATACAGCAACAAGTTGGTCAAAATTTAAACAGGAATTATAAATCTATTTGAGTCTCAGGGTTCATCAGCGGTTTGAATCCATTCATTTCTAAATGTCACCAAACTGTATTTGTGTTTGATTGCTTGTCATGGCATGTACAAGGACACGTTTAAATTTCAAGTGATTATTGCACTAGCCCCTCTATATTTAATAATTAGAAGTCACAGGTTTGTATAGAGCATCATGCAAGGCTGTAATCTAATGGAGGAAATTGCTATTCCTCTTAAATAACATGGTTAATATTCATACTAAGAGGATACACGGGTTATGTTATAAGTGAATCTACATTCGTCACTGGTTTCATAAGATTAGTGTGTGTGTGTGTGTGACTTTCAGATTTCTCCTTATGCAATAAGCAGAATAAACAGCATGCTATGACACATCGTTGCTCTGACATAGCGTATGTAATGAAGCTGCCTCTTGATTACTTCTGTTTCCTTATCATCACAGAAAAGACATGTTTGATACAGTTGGCACAGCAGCTTTCTTCTCACTCCGATGGCCTTGCTATGGTGTCAAACAATGAATAACAAAGGTACAATTAATAAACTACACTTTTCATTTGTACATGAGAGGCTGCTGTGCACTGTTGACAACTGAATATTACACTTCATTTAATGAAAATGAAGTGTTAAAAACCCAATTATGGCAATGTAATTATATTTACTGCAACCAGCAGAGTCCCTATATCCACTAAGATCTAACTATCTATCTATAATAAAGTAGGCATGGATACAACACAGAGATGTGAGCGGTAACTGTGTCCTAGTTTCCCCCTACATTGAGCAGTTACTATTTTTAGAAAGCAGAAAGATAAGGGGGGAAAAGAATCCCCTGGAGTCGACAGCAGCAGTTTTATGTTCTGGACAATTTACACCCTCCTTATGCTATGATGACCTTTCTGCCTTCATCGTTCACTCATCCCAGCCCCCCTCATACCCTCTGCTCCTCTATGTCCTTTCTCCGTCCTTTTCTCCTTGCCTTCCTTGATTCCCCCCCCCCCTCTTCCCTCCAACCTCCTGCCCTTTTATATGTTCCCCTCTATATATTCAGTTTTCCTCTCATGTCATATTTCATCTTCCATCCTCCAACATGTCTCCAGTTTCTCCTGCTCTGTCAGCACACACTTCCATATTGCCAACCAGCCATTTACCTATAATGTTTACCATACACCCCCCCC